AGAGGTATGTACATACATATGTATGTATATATGTTTTATGGACATACTTAGTCACAAACATAAGGCAAAACGTTTGATGCGCCTGTTACTGCAACCCAAATAAGTTTACAAGCTTACATATAATTTATAAATACACATAATTTTCGTTCTCTCCCCTATCCAGTTGTCGGTCTCTTTGGTATCCTTTTCGGATTTTAATCGAAAATGTGTAGCCCGTTTCCTGTGTTGCAGCTGCTCTTTTATACTCACTTATAAATACATATTTACAATAGTTATGAGCTACATGCACACACACACATTCATATGTACGTACAGACATGGATTTGTGTGGTATGTACAACCAACCGCCCTAATGTGATTTTTTTGGCGCGCAGGACAATTAAAATGGGAGTAAAATTACAGTCTCTTATCAATGCCATATGCCAACAAGTAGTATGAATACAGAGCGAAATACATACGAACATACATACATATGTATGTATGCACAAGCTCATAGTCGTACGCATGTTAACTAAAAATAACACTGTGACCTTCCAGAATGCCACATAAAACGCTTTGTCTGAATGTTAACTCGATTACTCCCACTTCTTTCAGGGTCGTTGGACGAGGAAGCATATAAAGAGTTCGAATGCACATGTGTATGTTTGCATGTAAAAAATCGATAACATTCATTTTGAAAGAGGTACAGAAATGATAAGTTTCATATTTCAACAGGATACCATAAGTGCCAGAAGGAGCGTGCATTTGAACTTTCAGAGGGATACATTTGTATGTGTATAGGATATATGTATGTATTTGCAGAATTTAATTAAAATTTACTCAGTATAAATTAACTTACTTGTAAAATATTTATTTTTCGATTTTCATATGGTGAAAATAATTACAAACATTAAAATATTTTATTTATGTAGAAAAGTATTTTGTTGTTAATGGCGAACGATTTTTATGAATTTTCACACACTCCTTGTTGAAATTTAATTTCACTTTTACCTCAAGGTCAGTTCATTTCATAACACGAAGCAAACTCGGAAAAATGTTTCAAGTACTGATTTATTTCTATATAAAATCTACATAATTGTATGGAATTCTAATAAACACAAGGTCAAGCTCTTACGTTCTGGGCAGTCTATTTGTGATTTGATTTATGAGTAGCGATTTTCTAAACCTTTGTTGAAATCTTTCACACGCTACAAATTCACCAACAACACGTAAGCATGACCTGTAGACTTTCTTCCCCAGGTAGAAAATTTTAAGGAAACAATCACCTCATAGAAGGACCTTAAAATACAGTAGTTAAGGACATAACTGTTCGCATCTGTGAATAGACAAACATATTTATATGGAATTACATACCATCCTTTCAGCGGTCGCACAAGCAAAAAAAAAAAACTACAATTTACCAACAGTATAAAAAAATCAAGATGCAATTTTACACAATTCTGTAAAACAACCCCAGGATACATAACTTGACAAACACAGGATCTTAAAGAATGTGTCCCACATTAAAATTGAAATCCGTAATTGTGACACAAGCAATAAAATATGCAGAGGACAATAATGGTTAATATCTGCTCTTATTATGCATACCCTACATTGGGTTATAATTTAAATTTTTAATGGGCGCAAAAATGTTATTTCCGGAATATTTGAAGTAATCGACTCCATTTTGGATTATGCACTTATATTTGTACAGATGTATGTATTTCTATTGTCACACCTCTTGTAGGTGTTGCGGAGTATATAGTAGAGGATAATTCTGGAGGGAGATTATATTAATATTCAGATTTCTACCGMACAACTACTATTTGTTGATTTGAACTACTTAAACTCCCGATTGATCAAAATTACTTAAAAAATACGAATGAACGTTAACTTCATGGGCAACGAAGCTATAATAAATACTCTTCTCAAATACAAAAGATTCCATACAAGTTCTGGTTTTTGATCGATTTTGATGTACCGTATTTCGTAAAGAAATCTCTTCAAATGAAAAAAGTTTTCCATATAAGGACAATTTTTCATCATCATCTAACGGGAGGCCCAGGAAACGTGCTGTTTCGACGGGGTCGGACCAAAGGGAGGGGGGTGTTAGATGAGTAGGGTTTGTAGGGCATGCAAAGAGGCGGCCAGTATCATGCGAGGACTCGTTGACATACATTGAGTATGTCTGTGTCAATTCTGTATAAGTAGGAGTTTAACCTGCTACAATATCCGGAACGAAGTTGCGTTACAAAGTTTCAATTCCCACTACAGCCGGTTCTACGTAGCGATATTGACTCGGATTTTATTAGACACCTTCTGGGTGTTCCAAGCTTGATAACAAACTTAATATAATCTGTTAAAGATATAAAAAACGGTAACTTTTGAAGTGTAAGTCAAGGATAATTTTTAATATATCCTTGCTTGCTCGTTTCTTTATTTCCTCTTATTTTTATCTTTTTTATTTCGTTTTCATGCGCTCCCAATCCATCGAGTTTGCATTGTAGTTTACAAAACGCCAAAATTTTGTTTTCAGCTACGTTTTTTTGTTTTCATTGTATTGATAAAAATATAAAATAAATGTTGCAAAGAAAAATATAAAATAATTAAAAGTTTATTTTAATAGAATACACACTTATGTACATATGTATATTACCCCTGTAAAAGTGCCGACAGTAACTTACATTCATACATACGTACAGTGCACATACACAAGCATGTAAACATATGTATGTATGTACCTATGTACATAAATGAGTTTCTATATTCGATAGCAAAATTTACACACATGTGCAAGCACATACAATGATAAATTTACAAGCTTTTTTTCGTAATTTTTTAAATAGCCCTTACATAATTTATTTGCATGCATATGTTATACCAACTATTATACGAAGATAATGCAATGTTTAATTCCATATATGTATGTACATACGTACTATAAGAACGTCCGTATGTTCGCCTACATGTGTAATGCGCAAAATATAAGTGCAATAAACTTTTCATTGTAATGAAGCTCCAAAATTTTAATTACAGCGGGGAATATTGTCAGGTATAAACCATTATAAACCATATTATATACTTTAGTACATACAGTGACACTAAAGAACTAAAGTGGAATTAAGCGAAAAAGAACCAAACAAACATTGCGAAACGGTGTAAACCCGAAACGCCGCAAAAATAAAACAGAAATAAATACTCAGATATGAGCTAACAGTATACAATTCCCACAATGCAATAAATCCGAGTTGCTTTTACGTGTTGGCCAAAGATATGCTGTTGTTGGCACTCACAAAAGTTTCCGTTGAGCGCTTTGTTTGGCACATCCCTCTCTGATTCCATGTATGAGTTAGTTCATAAATGAGACGCAGATAATTCAGCACTTTAAGCTCAAAAAGGGGAGAATGGATCCTACAAATGCATATGCACTTAGCCAACAGTTAAAGAGGGGGAAATCCCACGTACACAACAAACACATATGTATATAAGTTATTAATTTGTTATAAAATATTGTGGGATAAAATGCGCAAATGAGTTTGTGCCGCTACGAGAGCTACACATGCAAAATGTCGCCATTCAGCAACTAAATGAGCAAAATAGGGAAATTTATTGGGGAGCAACGGTGAGTGGTGATGCATTCAAGAAAAACAATCTGACAGAGTATCCGTTCCATTCCACATACTCGTATACATAAATATGTACATATTTTAACGAAGTGCCAACATATCACAAGTCAATATTTGGCGCGATTTCCGCAGGCATATTCTCTTGGTATTTACATACATCAATACATAATACATATGAATCTTAATAAACATGCAAATACCGCAGGAAAAACTAGCACATTAACAAGTATTTCACTATTAATCGCGAATGGTACGTGAAAATGAATTACCAGTCCATCCATAGCAGTAAAAAGTGTTAAGTTCTGCTTAACTTAAAAAAGACTTCCTTTTCAGAACCTAACTGATAAATTGATGCTAAGCAGACACTGAAAAAACGGTTCTAAGAATATATAAACTTGTATCTGAAAAATTAACAATTAAATACAAGAAATCATTCACAAAATTGCGAAAAATCTTTAGTCCCGAACGCAGAAGAAATGTTATTTGCATACATGTACAAATCACGTTATGTTAGTTAACATCGTGAATGTACATACTAAATTGCATACATTCTCTATAATAAATGTATGCAATTTGGTGTTGTTTGTTATCGCAACGATAACGCAATGAAATCAAAAGGCTTACATATGCATAAATTATTTTCTTTGAATATACATAAAAACATGTACATAACTTACTCATTTGTATACATAGAGCAACTTAATTTTACTTTCATTGTGGGGAGAAATTTCAAACTTCTCTCAAAGTTTACATTTATCTGCTCTGAAGATTCGCGATTCTCTCTCTCAGTAGAGAGATGAGAACACAATTAACATAAACACAAAAAACCGGCCGGCAGCAATGCAAAAGCACACAAAAAAACACGAAAATTAAACAAAACAAAATAAACTTGACGAAAATGCATTGAAGCAGCGATTCAGCGCCGACGGCGATAACTTTAGTGTAGCAGAGACCCCACATGTGCTGATGCTTGCTAACAGCTTGTTTACTCCCGAAAATACAGGGGCGGCAGAAAGAGTATGGTAAACAATCGATAATTGTATACGGGCAGTCGCTGCTGGCTTTTGCAGCAAAAAATGAGCGCCGAACGTAAACCATTACGAACAAATGTGAATGGTAAACTAGAAACAAAAAGTCCGCAGCAATAGTAAAAGCCAAAAAAAAAACAGAACAAAATAACGGAGCGACGAACGCAAATAATGAGTAAAGGGGAGAAGAAATGTTGAACAATTAAATATTAAACAAAGTAAACTTGACACAAGCATTTTGAACGAAAAACAAAATAGCTTGAAATATTGCAAAATTTTTCATTGAGGAAAAATAAGCTATTTCGGCAATACCACTTAAAAATGAAAGAAATATGGATGTGTTGAAACCAAAAGAGTTAATACTTACAGCGTACTTATTAAGGATTGCATCGTGGTAGCCACTTGAATAATCCTCCAGCTCGAACATTTTTAAAGTTTCTATCAAACACCGATTTGCCGCTTTTTTGTATTTTGCTTTATGTTGCAATTTATTTAAATCAACTCCACTATATAGTTCTTCTTAACCAATGTGTGACGTTCCGTAAGAACGTATGTAAATTTAACGGAACCGTTTACATGACGAGGGAGCCGGTGGAGCTGATGCTAAACAAAAGAACACAATCGAACTTCACACTAACAGAATCGGTATGGCATGTACAATTGTTTTGCTACTTAAGCTTAGTCGCATTGTCTTTTTCGCTACATTCGTACATTGCCTTCACATATATTTGTCCAATTTGATTTTCTTTACTGCGCTCAAAGTCGTTCTTAATCACAGCTTGCCATTATTTAACATTTTCTTTGTGTTGTTATGTGGATATTATTTGATTAAATCGCAACATAAATTCTAACTTCATAAAAGAATTAAATAATTAATTTGTGTCTTAATTGCCAATTTGGTAATGTGCAGTTCTTACATCGTCTTGCGATATTAGTGAAAAATATATACACAATAACATTTTTCACACGGGCTTTTGCTAAGCCCTAAACCGTTTCTTGTATTTTTCAAAAATTAAGCGGGCTCTTCGTATTTCTTCCGTTTCTTTTCCTACTTCTCCACGCACATTCGTCTCACTGTTTTTCGTTCCAAATTCGCAGCCGGCCGGTCAAGCAGTCGTTGGGCACAAAATCCAATCACACTGAAAATATCCAAACGTAACAAACAACTTGTAGAAAAGCGCGCACTTCCTCACTGAGCACACAAAATCAACTGAGAGCATCGCTGAGAAGAAATTTCGTATCAACCGACAGCGCTGCGCGCCGAGCAGGTAGCGTCGATAGCAGCTCTGCGCTCAGCACAACGCAACACAACTTCGAAAGAGAACGAAGAGAGCACGAAATTCAACCGAATGAATACTTTTTGAAATTAACGTTCGCCGGCGGTCTTCATTCGCTTTGTACATATATTCTATGGGTTACCATATTTATTTCTGTTTTCTTTTTAATACTTTTCGAATAAGTAAAAAAAAAGTTGATTAATTTTCAGATAGGAACAAAGAGAGAATCGAGGTACAATTTCCACTCTACTCGTATTTTAAGAAAACTTAATATTCATTTACTTTCTAAATCTTAAATATGTAAGCCAGTATCTTACACAAAACCAAATCTTCATACTATACTAATTTATATTGACTTTTACATAACTATTATTTAACTGCTATCGTCTAATATATTCATATATGTATATTTGTATTTTAAAATCTCATCAATGATCGTATTTGAACCTGGGTATTTCAAACTTCAAATGGGTAAAAACCAAAAAAACACTTTTTGTTAATAATATGAAGCAATATTTATTGCAAAAGAGACATAAGACTATAATAATAATTATGAATAATGTATAAATTCAACAAGAAACGAATGAAAATATATGAATGTTTGAATATCGCTTTCAAATTAAAAACGACTACGAACATATTGACGTTCTTTACGTTTGAGCAATTCATTTGAGGCCTCTCTTGGTACATTATTTCGAAACAGTGTTGAAGTTTTAAAATTTAGAGCATTTAAAGTTGCTGCATTGACACCTGGTCCACAGGCTTGCATAGTATCCATACCCTGTATTTTGGGGGTGGGCAAAACCTCTTCCAAAAATACACCCGACTGCGACCACTGTGGTTTAGGCAATACGAGTTTGGGATCAACAATTTTTTGTTTACGTTTACGTCCGACACTGTGAGAGGTTGGCAATTGTGGCACTTTGTCCTGACCAGCAGTTAGGATATGACGCACTTTAAAACCAAGTGTGCGCGGAGTAATGGGGCTTTCGCGGAAACCGCTGTTATTTATTTTTTTCTTCGGTGTGACCGGTTCTTCCAATACTGTGCCAGTAGGTAGTTCAATCCTGTTTAGTATGGCTCTCTTCTTTTTCGGAGGACTAACCACTTCCTCTACGATTTCACCTGTTATACAATTTAAGCGTTGAACAAGAGGTTCACGTGCACGTTCTCTCTTACCTTTATTTGAATAAAAAAAAAAAAAACAAATACACGAATATTTATACGTAAAAAATGCACAATTTAACTTTTGCTTACTTTTTTTCATTGCAGTGTGCGACTGCGAATCCGAAATCGATTCCAATAATTGCATTGGAAGACGTTTATCGTCACACTTCTCTTCATTTATCTAAAATACAAAATTTTCAAATTAAATACCTTTAGCTTTAACTATCAAGTTAAATGAATACAATACCGGTAGTGACAGTTTCTCCTTCTTAGCCTTGCTGGCTTCTTTCAATAAAATTTTTGCCGAAGCCTTGAAAGCTTGTTCCAATGCCAATGCTGTTTTTTCTGTGATGGTTTATTGAACGTTATTAAATATTTAACATTTGTGGTGATGTACAAACCTTTGGACTGCTTCATATCTTTTTTAAGCACGGGTGCATCGTTTGCTGATTCTTCATCCGAGCGCAATGAATGTTTTGACTCTTTTTTAGATTTTGGAATTATTAGTCGACTCTGAAGTGAAATTAATGAATATGACATATTTAATTGATATATACTATAATGAAATATATACTATGTACTATATTGAAAAATTGCTCGATAATACCTTTTTGTAGTTTTGTTTGCTTTCCAACTTAGCCCGATTTGCGGCATCTAATATTTCATCACATCGATCCAAAATACGTCCAATATCTTTCTTTTTATTCTTGATTGTTATAACTTCTCGTGGTGTAGGGCCATTAATTTCCCCCTTATTTGTCGGTTCATCAACAGAATCTTCTGAACAGCTGCTATCCGCTATGGTTTTAGCCTGCTCTTGAATTGGTCCGCAAAAAGATTTAGATAATCGCGATTTTGATGTATTCTGTAAACTTTTACGATTGCTTTTCTCAGTATGTGTATTATTTGCAACGTCTGAATCGCCACTGTCAGCCAACGTCTCTATTTCATCCTGAATATGATCACAAAGAGATTTAGATAAGCGTGATTTTGATTTAGTTGAGTGCATTCCCAGCTCAGTACTTTGCAAACTTTTGCGGTTGCATTTTTCACTCTTATTACTTGCATCGTCTGAAACGCCACTATCAGCAAGCGTCTCCATTTCATTTTGAATAGGATCGCAAAAAGATTTAGATAAGCGTGATTTCTTGGATTTACGCTTCTGCTCTTCGATATTTTCAAGTAATGATTTAGATGGATTAAAATCTTCATTCGATATTGATTGTAAACTGTTACGTTTCGATTTCTTTTTGATCTCTTGGTATTCTTTATTATCTTGTGCAAAAGTCGACAACATCGATTTCCGTTTTCCGTGCTGAGTGGGAAATTGTACACAGGAATGTGCCAACTTTTCAAGTTCCTCCTCATCTTGTTTATCAATAAAACTTTGGCCACTACCATCACTACTAAGACTCTTTTCCTTTTCCTCTGCCTCGGAAGAATCGGATTCCTCCATTTGATTAATATCTTCCGTTTTTGTAACACGAACACCAATTGAGAAGGAGCTATGGCGTATACGATCTTTGACCGTTATACGCTTTTGTTTTGCTTGGCAAAAAGATAAGCTTAGACCTGAATTTTTCAACTTTAGTCCAGATTTTCCAATGGTCAGCTCTTCAACGGTTTCTTCAGCGAGCGATTCATCTGCAGATTCCTCTTCTAAAGCCTGACCAACCTCTTGCGTCTCAGGTATTTCAATATCCTCATCATTGTTTGATTCATTTTGCGATTGCAGATCATCAAGATCATTTGATTTGTTGCCTTCATCTACTATCAATCGCTCAATTGTGTTCTCACTTGAATCAGAATCGTTACTTGAAACATTTTTAATCTCGGTGCTAATTATGGCAGCATCTTCCATTGTTGCGGCTGTTTTGTTAGATTCATGACCGGAATTGATAGATTTTCGAATCGAGCTTTCCATGAATTTATTATTATCCTCTTTGTCACATTCAGTTGATTCATTGTGGGACTCTTCATTCTTGTCGTCTGGAATTTTTTCGCATATGGATCTTGACAAACTTTTACTACGTCGTCTTTTTTGATCATTTGTCATCATCTGTTGGGCTGTTGAGGACATGGTACTCTCAACTGTTCCGGAAATACCATTAGCATTTGCGGTTTCACTGTTGGGATTCCATTTTAGACTATTATTTAGTTTAGTTTCACACCTGGTTTCCGGTTCAACTCGGCTATTTTCCTTATTATTACAATCATTAACACTTTTATCATTTTCCTGAATATTTTTTTCCCTTTGGGTTTCCGATTCTTGGTCGTTAAAACATTTTGATTCAATATTAACGGTTGTTTCCATTGAATGTTGGCGTTCAGAAGCATCCTTAGAATTATCATCATCATCCGTTGTGTCATCAATCATTCTGCTAACTTCGAAAGTGAGTGGCTTTTCTGAATTGACGGAACTTTTACGTTTGCCATTCACCTGTTCCGTTTGTATTTTCACCTGTTGTTCGGTTTCACTTTCACTGGAGGATAAAATACGATTTCTTTGGTTTGATATATTAATTTTTTTGGTCTTCTCTGAATTAGTCCTTGAAATGTTTGGATTGTCATCATCTTCGCTCTCACTGGTTATCAAAATACGATTACGTGAATTCTTTTTATTAGAGTTTTTGGCATTATCTTCTAAATACTCATCATTACCCTCATCAATATCTGAATATTCAAGCAGGGATTCTTCTGAATCAGATGTTATAAATGAAGCATTATCTTCATCATCTTCCTCATTACTTTCTTCGGTGTCTTCACTGCCAATCGACTCGCCTTCATCTACAATCTCGTTTTCCAACATTTCTTTTCTTTCTTCTTCATCCATTGAATCTCCACTTTGGTAATTGTCGTCTACCTCCATTGCCTCATCATCAACAAATTCCAATTTTTGAAAACTTTCAGCATCTTCTTCCTCCTCCTCCTGCTCTTTCTGTTCATCATTTTCGTTGGGTATTTCCTTTCTGGTATCAACATTTGGTGATGAGTTGGGCTCATCTTCAACTTTTAAAGGTTGAGGCATTGTCTCTTTATCATTCGTAGTTACAACAAGGGTGTCAATTTTTCCATCCGATGTTGCGCAACCACTTACATTATGTGTCCATGATTTTGAAAACAAATCGTCTTTATTTTCACTGCCATTACTTAAGTTTGTGGGTGCAACCGTTAACGACACATTTTTATCGTTCATTGTTAAATCCTTCTGGTCATGTTGTGATGTAGTGGTTTCATCTTCTTTTACAGGTGAAACCTTTTTTGCATTGGAGTCTCTTTCTTCTGATGTATTTATTATTATTGGTGAATTGGTTACTAAATTTTCAGTATTAGGTTTTGAATTTGATACCGAATCTATCATTGGAGTGGAACTTTGTAGTTTTGTAGAAAGCTTCTTTTTTTGAGGAGTATAGTCCGTTACTATTTCGTTTGCCTCTTTACTATTATTTATTTCTTCAACGTTATTTGCGGCATCATGAAACTCAACAGACTCTTTTGAATCATTTGCGTTATGATCTTTTGATGTTTCCATTCTGGTGCTTGCATCTTCAAAACTTCCATTAGATTCTTTATCACTTTTGAATGGCTGATCTTTTGAGTCGTTTGTGGAATCAATGTCTATATAGCTTTTACGTTTAATCGAAGCTGGAGTTTTAGGATAAGAACTCTTCACCTCATCGTCTACTTCCATATCGGTGAATGTTACAGATTTCGAATTTGGCGGTGAAATAACGGTAGACGTTTTATGACAAATTTTGTCAATCACATTGGGCGAAAGCTTCTCCAACATAACAACACTTTTTACAATGGGCTCAGAAGAATTTAAAAGTGATAAAGACGTGTGAGGACTTTTGGCAGTGGTATTAACTTTTTCGTCATTATGATCAAAGCTATCGGATTTATTAGACAAATCTTTAGGGACAGTTTCTTTTACAACCGCATCTTCAGTTAAGGATGACTCCAAACTTTCCAACTCTACTTTTTTCTCATCATTTGTATCAGATGATTCCATTTTTGTGTCTGGGATTTCCAAATTCTCATTCGTTTCTTTACGCTTGGAAACAGTTGAAGTGCTATCACACTCCTCAGTATCATGAGACGTCCTTATGTCTTCTGATAAATCAATTGTTTCAATATCTGTGTTCTCTTTTGGAGAAATACTCTTTGCCTTTAATCTTGGTGACGTTCTTACTGGAGTTTTCATTGAATGTTCCTTTACTATTGGAGTGGTACTATTAACCTTTTCCTTGCTATCAGTTGGTTCATCTTCCAGATTAATCACTTCAATATCAGAATCACTATCACTATCTTGCTTGGAACGTCGTGATTTCGGTCCTGGCTTTTTCCTTGCAGCACCTGAGCGTGGAGTTTTCTCTACTTCTGTTTGTGATGTCAATCGCTTTGTACGTCTTGCGGGCGTCCCTCTAGTATTTATTTCATTTGTTTCATTCTCTTTTGGTAGAAGATTATCCAATGATGGTGTATGTAAATCTGCTGCAGAAACGCTGCTTTTGCGCGTAGTTCGTTTAGCCGGAACATACTCAGCTTCATTCGACTCATTGATTGTCGAAGTTTTAGACTTTGCTGGCGTTTTTGAGGGCGTAGCAGTTAAAGTAGTAGAGTTGCGTCGTCCACGTAAAGCACGAGAAGGAGAACCTAAAATATTATGGCTTAATTTTCATGTTATAATTGTGCTTTATTACATGTACATACTTGTCTCCGGTATGGAAGTAAGCTTAGTTAGTTGAGGAGTAGACGGCCTACTGCTTGCATCGCTGTCCACAGATGTTAAACGCTTTCTTAAAGATCTTGTCACTATGAAATTAAATGTGAGAAACAAACTTCAATTTAGACATTTTTTATATACACATATGTGGGATATATCGCATCTGTCCCGTTACCTTAGAACGGTATGCAATTAAGTGCATTCAATACAATATTTAACACCAATTTCAACTTACCACGTCCACCAGTGGAAGTGTCCTCTAAATTCTCCATAACGATTTCTTACTTTTTCTAACAAAAACGTGTAATATGTGTAAGCTTTGGAGAAAACAAATTTTCTTAAATCATATGAAAAATTAGTTTACATGTGCAACTATCGGAATCACTCGCGATGTATTTCGTATGAATTATGTGCTTCTTCTTATCCGAAATTTGACTTTTAAACGGTTTTTGCGCTGTACATAGTTGCAGAAATTGTATTAAATGGTAATGATTATTGCCAGATAGTATTCTAATGAACTACAGTATAATATTCCTGTGATCGATATTTATGAAAATATTTTATGCGAGCTTTATTATTTTCGGTTTAAAAATTATAGATACTTTTACATCTGAATTGATGTGCAGGAAATATAAGAAAATTTTCAATTTGCCAGCAGCAACAAAACTATCGATAACGAATAGATAAATTTTTTTCAAAATGTTTTAAAATTGTTTTCCAAAACATGTCATATCAAAATATCAATTTGGCAGAAAAATAAAATTAACTCTTTTATAATTTAATTTCTTACAAGTTGTTTCAAACGAATCAACAGCTATTTTCGAATCCATTGGATTATAGAATATACAGTAACTGTTACTTATCCAAATGTCGGTGCATAAATCCAATTGTATTAGATGTCTGATTCATATATATTCATATTGCTTCGCTTGTTCGATGTAAGCTTTCATATGAGTAAAGTTCACATTGCAACATTGTGAATTGTCACACAAACAGGAGAATGTTGTCATGGATAATATGTTGTATGTGAATGAGCCATTACAATGCATACGTCAATAATATTGATGAATAATACTATCCACATGAAGTGTTTTGTTTACTAAGGGTCATTTCATTAACATATTCAAAGGGTGAAGAAAATGTTTCGAACACTTCTTGCTTTTCTTTGTTTTCACTGTTTTTTAATTTGGGTATTATCTGACTGTGGTTGCAACAAAGGCTTGGATAGACAATTGAGCGAATTAGAAACGCCAACCGAAAATAAAAATGAAATCCCGGTGTGCAAGCAAAACAAAAAGGATGGTTCACACTACAGAGATTATTATCCAGAGGATCCATCAATGTCTCTTATACCAGCAGGAAACTATTTAATAGGGACTGATAAGCCTCACTTTGAAAGTGATGGTGAGGGTCCAGAGCGACTTGTTAAATTAACCGAATTTTATATAGATAAATTCGAGGTGTCCAATGCAGAGTTTAATAATTTTGTGGAAGAAACGAATTATACTACAGAAGCAGAAATATTTGGAGACAGCTTTCTTTTTAAAACTCTTTTGACACCAGAAATGCAGGAAAAATACGTTGACTATCGTGTTGTTAGTGCTCCATGGTGGTTTAAAGTTAAGAAAATTTCGTGGCGAAATCCCCATGGACTGAAAAATAACATAAATGGTTAGTGTTTTGTTTATATATATCCATGCAATGTATTAGCACAATTCCTTTTTTTTACCAAAAGATTTGTGGGAACATCCAGTAGTCCATGTTTCTTGGAATGACGCTGTGGCCTACTGTAAGTGGGCCGGTAAAAGATTGCCAACTGAAGCAGAATGGGAAGTAGCATGTCGCGGTGGAAAGAAACGCAAACTTTTCCCTTGGGGAAACAAATTAAAGCCTCATGGAAAGCACTGGTAAATCCTACAACAAATGATAGAGAAGAATAAATATTATATACTTGTTAAGATAATACTGGTATATTTTTAGGGTAAATATTTGGCAAGGCGATTTTCCAGACGGAAATACATCTGAAGATGGTTATGAAATAACCGCTCCTGTTAATACATTTCACCAAAATGATTACGACTTGTATAATATGGTCGGAAATGTATGGGAATGGACCCAAGATCGTTGGCAAAAAGACGAAGTTAGTTCCAATCCACAATACGTAAAGAAAGGGGGCTCTTATTTATGTCACAAATCTTATTGCTATCGTTATCGATGTGCTGCCCGCTCGCAAAATACAGCAGACAGCTCATCTGGTAATTTGGGCTTCCGTTGTGCAAAAAATGGATAAGAAGAGCTGCTAAAATAATTTTTTTTTTTTTTTAAGTAGTGGGAGTATTACTATATATATTTAATGAAAATGAACATACATGCATTTATAAAAATATTGATTTTATTGAAGAAAAAAATCAAGATCTTTAAATCATATTTTGTTTTGCTATTTCCGGGTTGAACTGGCTGTTATACTTTTGTACTATTCGTTGATGAGCAATACTATTATTATTATCAATTTCCTGTACCGGTTTTATCGGTGCTAATAATGCCTCTTGCCGTGTTCTTTCGTTAGCCTCTCGTATAAGCCTTTCCTTTCGCATTTTTTCTAATTTTTCACGTTTAATACGTTGTTTTTCCTCCATGTCACTTTCGTTCTCTTCATATTTAGAACGTTTTCTATCCTTAAGCTTTTCTTTCTTATGTTTATGTTTTTTGTGTTTCTTGGACTTCTTGTGCTTTGTATATGTATATTTCTCAGTTAAGCTTTCAGGCTTTCTTATATTCTTTGATGGAAGAGCAGTATCTGGTACAGAAGTATCAACAAGAGAACGTTGTTTCAAGTCAATAAATTTCTTTTGCTCAACTTTAGGGAGTAAAGCATTAATCAGCGTCAGAGGATCCTGTGACTGTTTATTTTTCACATCCTTTTCAATTATGTCACTATCACCGACCTCTGTTCGTTTTGGTGCTACTTCATACCAGCTTCGTAATTTCAAGGCTTCATTAGTATCTTGGCCCAAGTATGTCAAGTACCCTATTTGCTTTTCATATTTCTCTTGTTCTTTCTTTTTTTCATCTTCTAATGCCTTATTTGTCTTTTTAATGTGAGATTTATAATCCGAAAATAAATCAACATGTTGATTAACAATATTACTTCCACTAGGTGTGGAAGGTTTATTTTCTGTTGTAGATCCTTCAGTGGTAGTTGAACCAGATTTTTTTCTCAAAAAGTTTATTCGTGCTTCGCTTTCCTGAAATTACACACAATTTTTTCATACATCATAAGAACTTAGAAATTATATACCGCTAATATTAATTTTTCTTGACGTTTCTGTTCCTCTTCTTTTGCTGCAGCCTCATCACGCCTCACTCGGGCAATGTTATCCTTTGTTCGAACGTGCCATCTTAATGATAACGATGTGTTATATTAAAAAATAAAAGATAAATAAATACTCACCTTTTCTTTGGAAGGATATTCATTGCTCTTTAGGTTCTTTTATACTTAATTACTGAGTTTTTCTACTGTGGTAAAAATGAGTTTCAAAATAATTTGTTTACAATGATTCTTCTTATAATCAACTGTTCACGATAACTAAATATCAGCTGATTCCATCGGAAGCCCGTTTTTTACAACTATATTACAGTTTACAACTTATTTGTGGGAATTTTTCATTAAACTTAGCTAAAATGTAACTAAAACAGATTTAATTTTGACAACGTAGCATTAAATTCTGCTATAAAATATAATAATTTACTTCACTTAATATTATTCTCAGCAATATATTCGTTTATAGAACGAAAACAGGTGTTGTCACAATTTTATCAAGGATAGAAGCATTTCAAGTTGCCGGCATAACTTGTTCTACTTGTGTATAGAACAAAGTTTCGAATTGTTGGAAATCCATATCTTTAATAATAATTGAGATTGGCTATTTCATTAATTGAGTAATAAGAACTACATAAAATGAGTAATCATAAAATTGGATGGAATATTTGCCTATCTATAAATGATTTGTGTGAAAACTAAATAGACTTGGCAACTTTGAATTAAATTATTTTTCACACGATGACAGTTCCTCGTTCTCGTTTCTCACTCGATGGCGGAAATTAATGAGAAAAGACGACGAAGTGCAAAAAACGAGAAAATATTGTAAAGAAGTAATTTTCAACAGGAAAAGTTTCTAAAACTTGTGAAATTGTTGTCAAAATCGAGAGTATCCGCAATCGGGAATATATATTCGATGAAATTATGGCCGCGGAGCAACGTGTATTAAAACAGGATGGTTATTTGGACGTGGGTAATATCGAGGAATCGCGTAATATCGCCTACCATCCACACTTGAATGTAATTCTTGTCTTCGACTCCAGTAATCAAGTGAAAATTCTCGATGTACATTCAGGAGTTATTTTACAGACTTATAATTTAGGCGGAAATGGTAAGCATAATATTGGGTGCTTTTGTTCACTTAGTTGCGCAGGAAAGTGATATTGAATTTGTGTCGGGAGATGTCTGAAGGTGCTGTTGTTACCTGAATAGAAGTAAAATAAAAGTAGAGGAGGGCAGGGGCTAAATATTGCATACGAATAAAAACATGCCGCAGTGTTAGTGCGCAGTTAGAATGGGGAGGGACTTCTCCGGTTTGAAGTCATTTCGACAGCTGCTGCAATAATGACTGAAATTAAGGTTTTGTTTCTGATAATCCGTTACCCGTTAGAAGTTCAATAAAATGATTGTTTATGATTACTATTAACGGAATGTACGTTCCTATAAATATTGAACACACTTAAGTAATTATTTGATTGTTTTTAAGTTTCTTTTTTTTTAATTTTTGATATTATTTTTACTCGTAACTGCATTTATTTTTTGCAGCCATCGATGGAAACGTACGAGGAAAATATATGCCGCTACAGGAGAAAATACTCCTTTGGGATGGACAGAATATAGGTTTTCGTGGTGACTACAATGGTGTTTTGCTATTGGATACAATCCTTCAACCACCTATTTTGCAAAATGATGATCTTATAAAATTAGAATTGCTTCTATCAGAAGCGATAATTTTCCAGACGTGTCTCAAAGATCTCGAACAAGAAGGCTTGGAATGCCCTAGTGACGTCAGTAATGAACTATTGGAAAAAATAAAAAATGCACAAGCAAATGCTAAGAAGGGTATCAAAGCTCAGAGGGTAAGACGAGTAATATACATAGCTTTGATAAATTTCTGTTTAAATAAACTGATTGAAATTGTTTGCAGTGGAACACAATATGTTTGGAAGTATCGTATTCAAGCTTGAAATTGGTTGCAAATAATGTAGTTATCATGTTGAAGCGATTAGAGTGTCACATTCCTGCCTTGGCAATAGCTTCGGCTATAAATGAACGACTAACTGATCTACTTTCCGGATCTCGAAT